AAAAACAGCTGTTTTTTTATTTGGTGTTTTAGTTGATCCTTCTGAGCCCGTTCTGAGTTTTGCAACAGTAAATGTTTGTGAATCATGAAGGTCCCCCCGATCAACTGCAGAACAAGTTAGATGTTGTGTACTGCCTCAGAACCAGCTTCAGGCAAAAAAAACAACTTAAAAACAAAAAGAACATCTGATAAGCGTAAGGTAAACAGTGCTCAAAGTTGTGTATAACTGATGAATGTAAAAGAATGCAGGGTTAAGTTAAGTGGTGCCTTGTGTGCTGTGTAAATTAAAGAGTTAATTTCTCCACTATAGATATGTCTTGGTAATAATGAAGGTCAGGTCCAGCTCCTGTTTTCCCCGAAAGCCATGACGATCCAGGGAGCAGGAGGACAAAACATTGGCTTTGATCCTTCAGGAGGGAACGAGTCTCATCATCACCAACGCTGCTTTAGTTTTGTGCAAAACAGATCAAAGCTCAGGCAAAGTGGTTTGTTCCCAGTAGAAACAGCGGATGTGTGGGCACTGAGTCATGGCTGCTAAATGTGCCCCCAGGAAAGCACCGTAGCACCAAAGTCTGGAATCTGAGCTCTTTTCTGTTTCCTGTCCCTTCGACCACAGGACTTTGATAAGCTCCAGAAATTCCATTAAATATTTAAAAGCTTCCTTCTATCTGTGAACTCGGCCCACCCGGAGCACAACAACAAGCCCGGACAAACAAAGAGCGGACCACACATCAATCCGTTTTAACTCCTAATGGCAAAATAAGACACAAACGGTCTCTGTATGGCCTTGCACACATCCAGCCTGTGCTCCACATTTCCCCCTCTTTATCCCCTCACACGTGCAGTGAATAAGCCAGCAGGAATTTCTGCCTTATATGCTTAAAGGGGCCGACACATTTTATCCCACATAGCACACATGCTTTGTGTATAAATTTCAACAGTGTTCAGCAAGTGAACTATGCTTCTCTGCAGCTCGTTTCTTATTAAATACATAGAGAATAGGATGACATTCAGGAAACAGTGATGCATTTGGCGAGGGAAAAGGAGAATTAAATGTTCATTTTCATTTAAAAATAATAGCAAAAGAGGGCAGAAGAACAAGCAAAATGATATTCAAATTAAAAAAATGTTTTAATGTATTATGTTTAAACTTTTTACACATTAATCATATTTTAACTCTCTCAAAATTAATTTGTGGGTGCAAACCCAGAAGCCTTGACCTATTTATAGATCTTTTTTTTTACATGAAGCAGAATTAACAGAAAACACTGAGCATACTGTTTTTATTATGTGATTTTTCTCAATCAATGAGCTTATGGAGCAAAATGCTTTGAAGGATTTAAATTTCTTTTGGTTTTTTTATGTAAACGCAGGGCTTCTTCGTGACATCTGAACATCAGGCTGTGCCTTTACTAAATAAATAATTACATCTTTTGACAATAAACATGTCAGCATGTGGTAACTTCTCAGCAGTTTGGATAAATTTATTCCGTAATATAATCAGGGCAGTTTAAACTAAAAATGTCATTGGTTCAAGATGACTAAGATGTTGGTTATTTTTAATACACCATGTCTCACACTGTTGTGATTTCTGTCAAATGCTCAAGTCATGTTGTTAAACAGAACAAAAGATAAGAATCCTCTGAAACATCAGCTCACACTTTCATTTCTGACTTTTGAAAAAGTTATTTTACTGCTGAGTTCAGAAGAAAATAGATACTTTTTGTGATTTAGCCTTAAGCTTAAAACAAGTACAAACCTTGTTCCATTTAAAACCAATATGACTAACAAAAAACTGAAATAAGTGAAATAAACCCACGTAGAGTTGACTGCTGGTTTCACATCTTCCTCTGAGTTCAGGCTGAGTTCACACAGTGCAAAGACATAGTTGGCATACCTGGACTGCAGTTCATTTTATTTTAAACTTTTATTTAACAAGTTCACTTCAAGACTTGGGCTCTAAAAAGCAAACCTGTCAACTCATTTAACCTATTCGTCTTTTTCCTTTTAATTTCTCTGTTTTTGTTGTTTCCGATTAGTCTTTCTTTTTGTTGCATATTTGATAGTGGCTTTAATATAATAAACTAATTTGACAGAAGTTGTACTCCCCTGATTCATACAGGGTAAACAGGCAGCAGAGCCCAGAGGCTCTGCATACCATAAGTTAATATTTGATCACCTAAAGAAGAAACGTGAGCTCTGTGAGAACATGCGCCTAAAAGAATGTGTGCCTCCCTGTGGAGATTTCGAGACTAACATGGCCGGAGACGGGGGCATGTGCAGGGCAGCATGCTTTCTGCTCATCTGACTAATTGTAACAGGCTTTTGTCAATCTGGTTTTGGCCCACGTCCATCAGCAGAGGACAGGCCATCTGCGGAAAACACGGACCCGAGGAGCCTGTTTGAGCCAGGCCAGACACCTTTTAGTCACGCGGATAATGCCGAAGGATCCTGGTCAAACAAGGCGTTTGCTTGAGTCCGACGCGTAAGTGGGAGAATGTCTCAGACGAGTAAACAGTGGGGATATCTGACAGCCGAGGCTGTTAACAGCGTCTGATAAGCCCTGCAGGAAGGAGTGAGGTGAAAATAGAGCAGGAAACACCAGCAGAACAGCTGACAAGGACAATCAGAGATGAGGCTAAGTGAAGCGGAGCATGCCGGGACGAAAGAGAACGAACAGACAAAATGTACCAAGTGAGGACGGCAACAATGTGGGGATATATGAGGGGAACCCCCCCCCGGGGGGGGGGAGAAAAACAAAAGTAGGAAAGAGGCATTTATTTCAGAGCCTGCTGCTGAGCCGCTACGTTTGACATTTGTCTGACATTTCCCCTCGGTGCCCTTCCAGTTGTGTACAGCGTCTCAGTAAGGGCCTCTCTCCCCATCACCGCCTCAGTTTCCCCACACACGGCCGACTCCCACCCACTTCCATCCAGTCGCAAATACATCAACAAACAGCTTTGTAATGACATTCTCTGAGAAGCCTGATCTTAGGCTACATTCACACTGCAGGTCTTAATGCTCAGTTCCGATTTTTTGAAAAAATCCGATCTTTTTGTGTGAACGTTCACATTACATTTTAAATGTGACCTGCATCAGACCCCTGTGTGAACGCAACACAGCACTGATGTGACACGCATGCGCAGTAAAAGACGTGACGTCTCATCAGCCGGCTTGTTTGTTTACAGAGCTAGCATGGATGCTACAATTTGC